TGAAAATAATAATAAAAGAATTAATTATTAATTATATATTAATAAAATCTTTAGATTTTTAACTTTATTTTTGATATATTTTTTATTGATTTCTATATAAAAATTTTGAATAATAATAAATAAATAATTCTAAAATTTTTTATATTATATTATATCTTAGACTTTTCAAATCCTAATTCTCTAAATATAATTTTGGGAAATGATAAAATTGTTTCTTTTAAAGTTAAATATTAAAATCTTAATTTTGAGAGATAATAGTTAGTCTATATTTAAACTGTTATTTTAATACAATCTTGTAGTTCTAAGAGATAAAAAATTTTTATTTTTTAAGAATAATTGAAAAAATAAAGAGGAAGGAAAAGTTTGAACTGGTAAATTAAAACCTTTCCAAATTAATCACCAGTTTAATAAAAATCTTTTTTAATTTTGAAAAGAAAAGAAACCAGTATAAGAGAGAAGAGAAAAGACTTTAAACCATTTCTAATAAAGAATGTCTCAACACCTTGATCTTTCATTATATCTAGTTGCATTATTAATTTTAGTGTAATATAATATAAACATATAAAGAGTATATATTTTGTTTACATTTTTTTTATATATTAATTATTCAATCCAAAATTTTAGCCAATTATTAATTAGAATTTCCAATATAACAAAAATTCAAAATAAAACTAAAATAGGCAAAATTTTTTTCATATACTTAAAAATATTGCTATAAATATACTATACAATATAATTGAAACAAGAATTAACTTTGTTTTTTTTTTGATTATATTAGTAGAATTAAAGATTAATTTTATTAATATTTATTAAATTTAATTTAAAATTACTCTTTTCTAATCATATCTGTTTTATTAAAAAAATTTTTTTATAATAATTTTTGTCAAGAAAAATGTTTTACTTTCTTTATTACAAATGAGTTTCTGCTTAAGAACTTAAAAACTTTTAAAATAGTTAATACAATGGAATAAAATCTTTGATCAAAGTCTATTTAATTAGAAAGTTTTGTTTATTCTTTAATTGTATAAGGAAAGGCTTATAATTAAAAATCATAATGATTTTGTATTTGATACCATTCAATTCTAACTCTTATAGTAAATTTAATAGATGGATTATAACCCACTTATATTTTTATATGTATGCAAGTCCATGCAAATCTATATGATTTCAATTTTTGAAATCATATTTATAATAGTTTTCTTTTATTCTTTTGTTCTCTTTTATCCCTTCTTACTCTTATACTATAATATCATATAAATCATTTATATTATTACTATTATATTTGCTAAACTTATAAGTATTTTTCAAAAAATATATTTAAACAAAGTTATTAGATTTATTGTTTGTTTTAATACAATTTTTTCAAATAATCTTATTATGGTGATATTTATTATTACTTAAGAAATTTTATAATTTTTATTTGTTCAAAAAATCAAAATCAGTTTATTCACTTTAAATAATTATTGTTCTTCAATCATTTAATTAAATTTAGTCACTTTATCAAAACAAAATTTAAATCAGTTCAAATTAGTTTTTTAATATAATAATAATAGCCACTATTAAAATAATAAACAATATTATTTATATTCTACTATCAATATTAACAAAAATCATATTAACAAGTAGCAAGAAACTGGAAATATGGAACAATGAGCTAATATAATGATTCTTTTGAAGTTATAACTAAAGATGAGTCCCTAAATTAAAAGTAGGAATATAATTCAAATGTTTCTTACTATTAAAAAAGTTTTTTTTAAAATATAAGATTAAAAAAAACTACTTACAAAGATTTTTTGCAATTTAGGTCACTTGATCCAAATGTTTTTTAAATTATGTTCCTATTACTATAAAATAATAAATAAATAATTATGTCTTTTCAAAAGGAATATAATTAATCTATGAAATTTTATATGTTAAATAATTTAGGGACTCATCTTTAGTTATAACTTTTATTCTTATAGATTTTATAATTTATTTAACTTAGTTTTAGTTTTAATAGCCTTTATTTTCTTTTTTACTTTTTATTTTTCTTTTATATCTTCTCAAATAATTCTAAGTAAATAGATATAACTGTTATATTAATATTGTTTTAAAATTTATTTTTAATATTAGTTAGATATAAATTGTATAAACAAGCTAGTATTTAACTTACTATATACTTTTGCATCTAAGAAATGTTGTTTTTTTTATAATATTTACTATATTATATATACAAATCAAATAAAAAAATGATGTTTACTTATTGGAAAAAAATTTTTAATATAATTTAATTGAAATTATTATTAGAATAACAAATAATTTTATATGATTTTTTGATTTTATTAAAGATTATTATTTTAAAGTTTTTTCTTTTTTATAAATTTTTATAATATCATTTTTAATTATATATTTGCTAAGGAATATTAACTTTTGATTTGAGAAATCAAAAAAAATATCGTAAATCTGAATTTTCAACTTCTGTAATATATAGTTAAACTATTTTAATTATATTATTAATTAATATAAAATTATGAAACCAAATATAAAATTATATAATAAGCAATAAAAGAATATAAAATCCTTATTTTTTTATAATATAGTATTTTTAAATAATTATAGTAAATTAATTAATTCTTTTTTACACATCTGAGATACAGTAAATATTCAGATAAAGAAAAAAATATCAAGTAGTAACAGAGATCCAAAGGCCTCAACCAGCAATCCAAATTCTACTGAAAGACAGCTTAGACATAACAAGTGAATTAGAGAACCAATTATAGTCAGGATCCAATTATATATCAAGAAATCTATAGCACTTCCAATACAGATAACAACAAAAAACCCGATACAAAACATGTTGAACAGAACAAACCAAGACACTCCACCTAAAGAAACAACAAATCAAGCATGTAACAAGAACATTATAACACCAGTGATTTAAGAAAAAGAATACACTTTATGGAAAGAAGAAGTAGAAAAAAAAATAAACAAGCAAAAAGCAATCAAAACAACAAACATCACAGAATCATAAAAAGCAGAACTTGTGAACAAGAAATAACAACAAACAGTAGGATTACCTGGCTATATTAGAATAGATGATAGTGATGAGGAGATACTGTCTGAAGCAAAACTCAATCAAAAAAAAACCACAGAATAAGAATAGTTTACAATATACAAGAAAGGCAAAAACTAATTAAAGGAAAAACCATCAATCAGAAGATTGACCATATTATTCTTGCCCTGGACTCACTTAAAGAACTTCTTACAGTTTGCAGTAAATATGATTCTGAAAATTGGAATTGCATGAACTTGCATAGAATCGCATATATATAAAAAATATAAATAGGTTATAACTCACCTATTAAATTTACTATAAGAGCTAGAATCGAATGAAATTAAATACAAAATCATTAGGATTCTTAGCAGTAAGAAAAAAAATGAAGAAATAAAAATCATTGCTATCTTTGAAAAACAACAAGTAGCTAAACATGCAACTACAATCATATTTCCAGATATGAAAGATCATAAGTTAGCATACATAAAAACCAGATGCTAAGAAATTTACAAAGAAAACTTTATAGTCATGTGGGACATTCCTTTGAATACAAAATACATTAAAGTAAAACTAATGTTTTTCAAATATAGAGAAATCCAAGGAATTACTATGAGTATCCAAAATCTATGGTAATATGTTACAATAATCTTTATAGACAAATCAATCAAAGATAAACTAATTAATCAAAGAAGTGTCCTAATTAGAGGAGACTCAGTTAGAATTAATGATACAGAATAGTCACTAGATCAAATAAGGGCAAGATATAAGATTGCAGTCAAACTAATCATCTTACTTTCAAACATATTAGCATGAAATCTCAAAAACATTTTTATGCAATATAAAGGGCAAACATGTTATATTTCTAAAGCCACAACAATAGTATACAAACCTAGAAGATTTATAGTTATAAGCTTTGCAACCCAAGAAGATCTTTTGAAGCAGTATAAGACACATATATTCTTGAATAAACAGAACTTATTATCATACCAATTATAATCAAGCTCTGTACAATCTGTAACTCTGAAAACCATATTATCAAAGATTGTCCAATCAAGCTTTATTACCAACAATAACAGAAATATCAATAAGAACAAGCATTCAAATTTAAAATACTATATAACAAATTCAGATTCACTAAAACAGGCATAATTTGCAATATCAACAGATCAAGATCAAATGGACAAAGCAGAACAGGATTCTATATATCTGTAGTCAAAACCCAAAAACAAAAAAGAGAAAAAAATTCACAATCCTTAACAAAAATCACAAATCTTCTAAGACTAATCCAAAAAGACCTAAGATAGGTAAAGGAAAAAATCATAGAACTAGATAAATACATTACATATCTCGAGTTTTACAATGAAGAATATTATAAAACTATAAAAAGCAAACAGATCAATAAAGAAAAGAGTGAAACAACCAATCAATAGCAACCCTAAGAAACATAAGAAAACAATATAAATGATATTAGAAGCTACCAAATACAATTGTTTGCCTCTCTAGATGGAATGCAAAACAGTATAAATCAAATTATAGCAACAATGGATACCTTTGCTAAAAGCCCAATCCAATCATACAAATCAAATAAAAAATATAACCAGTGATATCTTTTCAATCCAAGAAAACAGTTTAAACAATGATACGAACATCACAATATTAAATTTAATTATACATAGATGAACAATTCAATAACACCTTTTCATAGTTAGACTTAGAAACATTACAAGAAGATAAAACAACAACACAGAAAGAAAATCAACTAAATATATATCAAACTATACAAAACATAAAAAACCAAACAATAGCACCAGTAATATTAGAGAATATTAGCAACAATATAACAGATTTGCTTGAACAACTATCAACTAGTATACAGCACAAATGGCACATAGTAACACACAATACAAGAGAATTTTACAACCTCCTCAAAAAAGCACTATGGCAAAAATACTGTATAGATAACAAGATGGCTATAGTCGTGATTACAAAAACACAAATTACAAATAACTTCAACAAGTATTGGAAGGTTTCAAATTCTCAAAACTTTGTATTAAAAAATAACAAAGGAGTAGGAATTATTATCATGTTCAAAACAGAAATTGTACAACACATAGATAATATAGACAAGTTCCTGGGAAGAGATATCTGTATAAATCTATACTATAAAAACAACAACAAAGTCAATATTATTGGAATATATGTTTCAGTATCTCTTAATAGCAACTACAAACAATTTTTAAGCTGGACAAATCAAAAAATCTGGGAAAAAAACAACAAAGACTTCTTTACTATTATACTGGGAGACTTTAATAGACTAGCAAACCCAAAACTTGATAAACTTCACCACTCAAAAACCAACTGCAAAACATGACCTATGAACTCAATCCTCCATACGCTCACATAACTAAACCATATAAACATATACAGATTTCATCACTTGTCTAAAAAAGAATACATATGACAAAATAATAATGGAGTTGCAATATGAATTAACTATATTTGGCTATCTCCAAATCCAAACTGGTTTATACTGGAGATATACATTATACTATCAGAGTTTATTTTCAATAGTAATTACAATATCACTATATATACAATATATATACTTATAGGAGATAATCAAACAATATTACATAACACATCTCTTAAAACAAATATATTCAATATTAAAGCAACAAAAGTAAATCAATAAAAGCTTTTTTAAGAGAATCTGGACAAGAAAATAGAACTGCAAGAAGGTTTATACAATATCACCCATATGTTAGTAGAAAGACTCTAGAATATTATTTGGAATAGTATTTGTATAATAGTGAAAAGACATATCAAGAAAGCCAATCCAAAAAAAACCCTATATACAAACAAACAAAAAACTATTCCCAACCACACAATCCCAACCAAAACATTGGCTTGATTTATTACCTTGAGAAACTTGTATACCTAGCCAACACATATATTAAAAAAAAAGAGAAAATCAAATACAATAGTTAAAAAAATCAACAAAATAACAAAGCTTTTACAAAAACAAATATATCTATAACAAACTTTCTTTTTCAAAAAAGTTTAACCAAAAAACAAGATGGCTGGAAAAAGTAAAAAACCTTTGGCAAGCAATATAGAAGATAACCAATCAAGAACTATAAAACAACATCAATACTCAAATCAAAGAAGCCATTCAAAAAAGAATGAATCAATACTTAAAATTCAAAAAGAAAATGATTAATAGTATACTATTGTGAGAATACAAAATAATTGAAATGAACACAATCATTATTAAAAATCCAGAAACAACTATAATTACAGAATCAAAAGAAATCAAAGAATTGACAAAAAAGTATTTTGGTTACCAATCAATATATCATAACATGTCACAAATCTCTATAGAATAGCAAAAAAAATACAAGCCAAGGAACAATATACAAGAAGATTGGTATACAACAGTATTACAAAAAATACAACCATCAGAGATCAGAAAAACTATTGTCAAAACTAACAAAAACTTGGCTTCTGATCCATTAGCAATAAACTATAACATACTTAAATATTTGAAAGACAAAACCATATAAAGAATAATATATGTCTTTAATAAAATTCTGGATATAACCTAAATTCCAACACAATAGCAATATAACCTAATATATCCAATCTTCAAGAAAACAAATTGACAATATAATCTCAATCACACCCATCCGATTATCCTAATGAAAACAATTAAAAAGATTTTTACAAAAATTATAAATAATAGGCTTGCAAAGGTCTTAACTCAATATCCAATTCTCTTACCTCTCAACTGGGCAGGTCTGCCAGGAGGCAATACAAATGAACCCATCTCAATAATAAATTATATTCTGAAAGATGTAAGACAAAACCAAAAAAAATGCTGTCTAATTAATTAAGACTATATATGTGGTGAAATTGAATTCAATCATTTTTCAAAAACTGTATTATAGTAGAATTACTAAGTAACATATAATAATTAATTGGAATTTGCATTTAATTCAGAATCGTATTGTTGATCAAATTTCCTTTTATAGTAATACGAACACATGTATGATCAAGACATTAGCAAAGTATATAATTCAATCAAACACAGCATCTTGAAAAAAGCATTGCAAAGAATTAAAACTCCAGAAAAAGTAATCAAGATTATATCAAATCTTAATACAGATCACAAAAACAGAATAATCACATGTCATGGGTTAACAAATAAATACTCACTAACCAATGATATAGACCAAGATAATACAATCTCTCCACTGCTTTGATATATATACTATGATCCCTTGATCACTAAAATAAGTGAACTCAAAATAGAATACAAGCTACACAATATAAGACACAATCAGTAGCTAGAAACAGTTAGAGATTCTCAAGTTCAAATACTTGTGGTAGCATATATGGATGATGCAATATAGATTATAATTAATAAGAACAATGGATAAAAAATACAAAACATTACAGATACATTTGCTCAGTTCACAAATCTGAAACTTAATCCTAATAAGTCAACACTATTAATAGTCAACAATACAAAAGAAATGATATTGGAGTCCAACAATCACAAGATCACCAAAATATAAAGAAATGAACCAATTCGAATTTTAGGAGTATACATTACATAATTAGAAAAAATGATTCACCAAAAGCAGATCATTTAAGACAAAATCAATTATATCACCAAAATACTTAAAAGAAAGTATATTATAAACAAACAATACAGATATATTCTTAATCAAGTTCTAAAATCTGTAATAGAATATCTATTCCAAAATATTATATTAAGTGAAACAGAATACCAACAAATAAATAGGAAATTATAGCAGTAATCAAAAACAAAATCAATATAATATATATAAGTATATATAAACAGTGGAATTTACCTTCATATAGGAAACAAAGTGCTTTATATTCATGATAGAATGCTTCAACTACACACATAAACTTGAATGAATCAAATCAATAGTAACAATATTATTGAACAAATAATAAAAGCAAGATTGCAAAGTCTGCAAGAACAAATATGAAGTATATAACCAGTTATAGTTAAGACAACAAATAATTTAAAAAATCTTAATAACAACTAAGGATTCTAATAATTCTGTATTTGATTCTATTCTATTCCAGCTCTTATAGTAAATTTAATAGATAGGTTATAATTCACATATGTTTTTTATATGTATATGAGTCCATGTGAATCTATATGATTCCAATTTTCAGGATAATAACAATAACTTCATCAGTAAGTTACTACCTCTGCTATATTTCATCGAAGAATATATATCACAACAATGATACATTAAAAATAGAGGATTATTAAAAAAATACAAACTGATGTTTATTGAACAAGTAACAAATACAACACAAATATTATGATTACATGAATACAATTCAAAGCACAAGAAAAAGTCAAATATGTTAGCAGATATTCAAAATGGTTCAACCAATTGACAAACTTTTTTGTACAAGAAAATATAATCACAAATGATAGAAGAATTATTATCTCCAATCTGTCAACAAACCTGCTAACACAATACAAAATATCTATTAATACAACAATAAACAGAGAAGAATACCTAGCTACAAATATAGACAAATAGATATATATAGGTAAAAGAATAACAAAACATCGATCAAATAACAATTATATTACAGCAACACATTTTTTTCAAATAGTAGAAGACTTACCTATTAAAAAATATATAGGATACAACTTAAATATATGAGGTAGTAAAACAAGATATATCAGAAAACTAATAACAAATAAATATATTCCCCTTCTAATCAAAATTCATAGCCATATAACAAGTAAATTAATATGTATACAGCAATCTTTCAACTTAATATATAACAACTTCATATATATTAAAGAAATTAATAAACAACAAATAAATCCCTTACCAATAAATAATAATAGATGATAATATAAACAACAGCTTCATTACAACAAATTAAATAGGAAAAAAAAATTAAAAAAATAAAAAAGCTAATAAAACAATGGAAGGATATCAATGTCTATACAGATGGCTCTATGGATTCAACAGATGATAACAACATAAAAATGGATGGTATCATTATATAAACAGAAACACAAAACAAGAAATAATATTTAATGTCAGAACTAATAATAATTCTTATAGCAATCGAACCCATCCCAACAATAGTCAATATTAACATCTATATAAACAGTAGCAATGTTATACATATAATAAAAAATGGCAAAAATAAAACAATCCAAATAAAACAATCCAACCATCTCACAGCTATACAAATTTAATCACAAATCAATAAGAAAACAGACAATACAACTATTACCAAAGTCAAGATACACAACAATAATATTATGAATAATAAAGCAGATCAAGAAGCAAAAGAAGAAAAAAACAGCTAACACATTATACATCTCAAAGATTTTACAGTAATCAATATAATAATAATACAATAGAAAAAATTTATATTAGATATAGATATTTTCAGATTCATCAAGAACATAATCAATACAAAGTGAATAGTCAAATGATACATATAGAACAGACATATATAATGGCTGGACAAACAAGAAGAAGATCAAATATTATGACAAGAAATATGGGAAAATCAATATCTAATAAAGATTATCACAAATATCATATCATAAAAAGAATACAATATAAGAGTATTTAAATATAAGCTCCTCAACAATAAGTTATTAATCAAAAATAATTTATACAAATACAACTTATATATATACAAATAAAGATGGATCCCTAAATTATTTGTGAGGACATAATTCAAATGTCCCTTATTATTAAAAATTTTATTTCTATATTAAGAAATAAAAAAAAACCACCTATAAAGGTTCTTTATAGTTTTAAGCATCTATATAAATCATTTTTGGAATTATGTCCCTATTGAAATAAAGAGCTAGGAATTATGTCCTCTAGGGGACGTGGACGTAAAGAGATGTAAATTTTATATGCTAAATACTTTAGGAACCCATCTTTATATATAAGACAAATTATTGTTACAAATGTAATCAAATTGAAAACAACATTCATTACTTTATAAAACACAATAAAGAAAATATATTTAATGAATTTATATCAATAACAATATAAGAAATCAGCTCAAGATCACAAGAAAAACAATCAAAGCCATAATCAAAATACAACAATGAATTATAATAACGATATACAAAGCATGATAACAAAGATATATAGAAAATGCAAAATGGAAAAAACAAGAAGAAATTACACAAAGTAACAAATGAAATAGGAAAAAGAAAAACACAAGAATATATACAACAACCAATTAATCAAAAGACCAGACACAACTAACCAAACACATTTATAAATACTTGATTAGCAACAGAATACAAAATAACAAACAGGAACACAA